AATATATATATATATATATATATATAGCACACCATGACAAATGCACAGGGCCTTCTTAGAACCGGATGCCGTATGGTGTATACAGAACCTAATGCGAAGTTACCGTGGAGGAGCAACACAGATGCAGTGAAATGAACAGCACGACGAGCAAGCATAAAAGTCGAAGGCACATACACGGGGGGAGGTCAGGGCCACAAAAGAGCAATGCAAAACCGACAGCAACAGCAATGGTGTCAACAACAAAAAGAGCAGCAGCAACAGGAATAAGCAACAACAACAGCAGCAACAGGAATAGAAACAACAGCAGCATCAACGCCAGCAGCACCAGAATCAGCAAGGAAGGAGCTCCGGGTGTTCTCTCCTTGGGTCTAGCAACGGCCAAATTTTTAATTCGCAACTGGCGAATTGTTCTCCCCTGCAGCTTAAGCCCAACAACAGCAGAAACAGCAGTAGCGCAATGAAGACACGTAGGTGGGTCAACTGTAACTCCTGCCGAGAAGCGCCAAACGCCAGCAACAGTTGAACAACGGCAGTAAATGAACACGTGAGAAAAGCAAACAAAAGCAAACGGCAGCCTTAGCAAAAACAACCAAACAACGTAACGAAATGTTGCACAAAATCCAAATACGGCAGGGCCGAAAAACAAAAAAAAACAACACCAACAACCAACATCAATATGCATAAATGAATAACGGCAGCGAACAATATCCCAAAGCCCGACCCGCCACTAATACAAACAGCAGCAACGAACAAGAGACAACAAAAACCGGCAATGAGAGGCAAAACGCAACACAAAATAAATGACAAACCACCTACATCAAAAGGAAACAATAGCTATCGTTACCAACACAAACAGCAGCAACAACAGCGCACCTGCTTTCGTTCCATCGCTGGAGGGAGGGGCAGTTTATTTCGCTCTTCGTCTTCAAGCCGGGACAAAATGGCGGCTTGGGTTTTAGGAGACAGCCGACCCCACACACCCAAAGAATGCTGCGGCGCAAACAACAATATTCATATGCTAGGGTTGCCGATGCTGTTTCTGTTGCTGCTGTTCCTACCGCTGCCGCTAGTGCTTCCACCTTTGGTGCTGCTGACGTTGCTGCTCTTGCAATCTCTGCTGCTACTGCTGCTTCCGTCGAGGATGACCAGTAGCGGCCGAGGGTCAACTGCGTGCAGCTCTCACGAGAGCCAACGCGTGAGCAGCTACTACACGCATGGGGATATTGAAGCTTTCAATGCGCTCCTTTAAAATGCTCCCCAACTTGCGACAAAATCGATGCGGCACGAAACCCTTCACATGCCCTTCGGGAAGCAGGGTAGCTGCATGCCACCAATACCACCAGCAGCAACAGCAGCAGTACTAGTACCCGTAGCAGCCAAGCAGCAGCTGAAGTAAACGTGACAGGCACGTTGGTTTTGGCCTGGGCAAAGCTCTCCATGAACCGTGCTCTAGCACCACATATGACAGCTGCCGCAGCAAAGCCAGCCACAGCAACAATGCAGCAGGAGCAGCTGAGGACCAACAGAGGAGCGGTAAACAGCATTTCGTGCCTTGCCTGTAGCGGTCTCATTTTTGTTCCGTGGTGGTACTCCTGCTGCATGCAGCCCCGACAGAAGCCTTAGTAAACCTTCAGCTGCAAGAAGAGAGAAACAGGACAAGAAGACCCCACAGTACAAACTGGAGCAACCAAATAGCCGCACTCTAATACAGAAGAAAATGCAAAAGGCCCATGGAGAGGGTTTTCAGCTAAGGAGGTCACACAGATGACAGAGGGACAAAAGCAACAGAAGCCGAAGATAAGGAGGAAGACACACGGAAGAGCAGCAGCAACGAGAAGGAAGCAATTGAACACCCACCCAACCAAACAAACAGCCAGCCACAAAAACAAACAGTTGCAGATGCAACGCACTGCTTAGCTCCTGCAAACGTCCCTTTATGGCGCCACATGTAGCCCCGAAAAAGGCAAAGTCTATCGCTGGCTGCTGCTGAGCTTGCTGATGTTGGTGGTTGTGCTGCTGTCGCAGCTGCAGCAGCAGCAGCTGCAACAGCAGCTCAGGCTCGAGCAACCCTAGTAAGCGTATCGATTTCCGACAAGGCAGAGGTTCTACTGATTTTCGTAGCTTGTTCTGCTGTTGCTGTTGTTGCTCGGCCTGTTGCTGCTGCGATTTTGACCGTTGCAGCTGTGTTTTTTGGTGCTGCACCTGCATCATTAGGATATTTTTCAGCATCTGCTGTTGCTCACCGCAAACTGGCAACGAGAAAGAGCAGCACAGAAGCTTCGCAGCAACAGTAGAGGTTGTTGCTGCTGCTGGTCCTAGCCTCCCCACTGTAGCAGGCAGGCAAGCAGCAGCACGGGCGAAGAGAGCGTCTGTGAGCTGCTGCTCCCACTTACGCTGCAGCTCCGCTTGTGTGGTACCTACATCTGCTGCTGGTGCTGCAGTATCTGCAGACGGCTGGGAGAGTGTGGCAGTGGAGGTGAGGGCTTCTGCCACTGCACACACAGGCTGCAGCAAATACATAAACCCCAAGCCAGCAATCACTCCTTCTCAGTCTCAGACGCAGAAACACCGGAGGCGGTAACATCCAAGGGTATTTGCTACCAACACATGGGAAGGGATATGCTAGCCGTGCAGCAGCCCTGCGGCACCCTCAGCCGCAGCAACGGGAAACGGGCTGTGTATACAAAGAAGTATTTATATGCTCCAGGTGTAAAATACCCTGGCTGGCAGCGAAGAGGCAAAGGCTAAGAGTTGCAACAGCAGTCGCAGGCGCAACGAGGAATCTTTCAGTCCGCTCCCGCTATACAATACAAAGGCCTTCGCATGCACACAACAATGTCTAGACCCTACACCTCAAACCCTAAACCTAAGCTCCTGCGGAGTAGAGTATTTCAATCCTTGACAGCAGACACTTGCGGAGAGCTGCAGCAGCTGCAACCTCAGCAACCCCAACCTCAGCAAAAAAATAACAGCAGCATGTGCTCACCGTCGCCAATTGTTGAGGTGTGTAGAAAGGAATTGCTGTGTACATACACCCGAAGGCCTGCTGCAGCAGCTCTAGCTGTCCATCCCCCACAGATGCAATAAACAGCAGCAGTTCCTCTGGAGGGAAGGAAGGCAGCAACAAGGTTCCTCGCTGCAGCAGTTTCCCCTTCAGGGTCTGTTGTAGCTGGCGCAGCACCTGTGAATGCTGGTGCTGCTCCTGCGGTTGCGGCCGCAGGCTGTACAGGCACACGGCCACCTCCCGGGGTTGCAGTACATCTACTAAAGCGACAGCAGCGTGAAGCACAGACGACAGAAGCTCCTCGGAGAGGGATCCTGTGGGTAGGAGACATCTAAGAGTAAGTAAGGAAATAACGGCGGCAGTGGTTTCCTGCTGCTGGTGTTGGTGCTGTAGATTTGCATGAAGGCCTTCAAGAAGAGAAGGGGTTAGTAGGGCCAGATGGCATGGGCGCAGCAAAGAAGCCTAAAAAGCAGCAGCTCAACAGGAGAGAAAATAGACGGGCACGATAGAACAAAAGCACGAAGGAGGGACAATGGGTCAGCTGGAGACAAGAAGAATGACAAAGGGAGCCAAAGACGACCAACGAGAGAGCCAGATGGGCAGGCACGCAATAAAGAGACAAATGGAAAGATACGCAAGGAGTCAACTACAGCATGACACCGACAACGGAAAACAGCGATATACATGTAGAAAAACAAATGGGGAAAAGGACAGTGAGGGACACACCGGGGCAGAAACAAACAAAACAACAAACGCCAAAGGCAACGACAGCAAACCGAGCGACGGTGAACTGCCTTATAGGCTGCACGCAAGACCAAGGCAGTAGGCCAAAGCAGAGGGCAAGGAAAGAGGAAACATATGGTGCACGAGACAAACATGAAGGAGACACCACAGCAGTCCTCACTCCTGCAAGCATCACGAGAACCGCTGCCGTCTCCTTCAAAGGTCTTTCCTTCTGCTGTTGCTTCAGCAGAAAATCCAAAAGAGACAGCTGCTGGAGGCGCAAAGAATGCATTGATTGTCGCAGCTGCCTAAGCTGCTGTCTCAGCTGCTGCTGAAGCAGCTGCTGTTCATTATCCTTCTGCTGCTCTCGTTGCTGCAGCAGCAGCAGCTTGCTCCGCAGGCCACGACGCTGCCGCTGCAAACTTCTGTAAAGGTGAAGGAAGGCAGAAGCTCGGAAAGCTGCTGCTGCTGCTCTCCATGTTGTTCCTTGCTGCTGTGGCTGCAACTCCTCTCTGCTGCAGGTAAGTAGCAACTCCCACGCTTCTGCGTGTTGCTTCTGGGCAGCGAGAGGCGCATCAAGCTGGTGTTGCAGGCTAAGGGGAAAAGGAGCAACAGCAGCAGCAACAACAGCTGCAACAGCAGAGGTGCAACTACATTTCTCGATTGGGAGGAAAGTGCGTTTACATGCAGCCTGCCGGTTGCTGCCAGTGCTCTTGTTGATAATGGTGCTGGTGCCTATGTGACAGCTGGTCTCCAAACGCCTGGTGCTGACCAGGCAGAAAGGTTGAGGCAACTATTCACCACACGTCTCACCTGTTCAATTCTATAAAGCTGCGCAGGAGTAGCAGCGCAACAGAAGAGACAGAAGACGAAAAATGGAAAACCGAATCTGTCGCTGCTTGCAGAACCGAAAGGACAGGGCTTGCTGGGACGGCAAGGGCTGCTGCTGGAGCTGATTGTGCCTCTGCTGCTAATCGGGAACCACCCGAACCTGCAGCGGCGGCAGCACCAGGAGCAGACGTTCCAGCAGCAGAAGCTCCGGGGCCCAGCAGCAACGCCGCCACCTTTGCTTGCTGTTGGGCAGTGCGCTCCTGCTGCTGCTTGAGAAACAAATACGCATCCGACCGCTGCTGCTGTTGCACCACAACAGCAGGCAGAGGCGTGAAGTTCGCCGCAGCAGTAAGCTGCCATTGCAGCAGAAGTTCCTGTCCCCACTGCTGCATACCCGCCCCGAACGAGGCTGCGCCAGGAGAAGCAGCAGCAGCAGCTGCAGCAACGCCGTAGGGAGCAGGACATGAAGGGACTATTCCATACGTCTTGCTGCTGCTGCACAGCAGTGAGAGAACCCGCAACCGCAGGGCAGCTTCCACTGGACTGCTGCGGTTGCTGCTGCTGTTGCTGTTGCTGTCGCCGCTGCCAGTGTTGTTGCTCGTTTGAGAAACGTGCAGCCAAAGCCGCCCTGAAGACACAAACAAATACATGATATAAAACAGCCCAACAATAGCAGCAGCAGCTACTGCATCAACAGAAAAACGGCGGTAAAAACAGCAGAAGCAGCAGACGCGACAATTGCAGCGGCAGCATCAGCAGCTGCACATGCCGTTTGAGCAGCAGCAGCAGCACGTTGCACTCACTTATGCCCTCATAGACTGTCTCTGCCAAATGTTCCTGCTCCTGTAGCTGCCACATATACTGTTGTTGTTGCTGCTGTTGCTGTGGCTGCTGCTGACTACTAAGTGCCGCAGCAAGAGCGAGCCTCTCTGGGTTGCCGATGCCAAAGAGTCGCAACAGTGCAAGGAAGAAGAACAGCATCTCCTGAGGTGTACATATACCCCAAAGGTGCTGCTGTTGCAACAAGGCGTCCAGAAGCAGCAACACTAGAGCGTCCAACTCTTGCCTATACGTTCTGTAGAATTCCTGTACCTGTTGCTGTTCCTGCCCCTCTTGATGAAGATGCTGCGGTTGCTGTTCTTGCTGCTGCAGCTGTTGTTGCATAGCGAGCGAATTTAGCTGCACAGAGAGTGAAATGTCCCTCAACACTAAGGCCTCCGTTAGGCGGAACATGCTGTCAAGGGGCAACATTTCCATGCTGTTGGTGCTGCTGCAACTTTTCTTGAGCGCCACTGTGACTTTCTCGATTGCTGCGGTAATTGCAGCGGCGAGCCCCAAAACTTCGGGTGTATCTGCAGCTTCAACGGAGCCGGGGTGAGTCTCAATGTGAACAGGGGCAGGAGAAGATATGCCGTCTCCTCCCATTTTTCCTGTTGTTGCTACTGCTGCTGCTGTTGCGACTGCTGCTTGCGTTGCTGCACCTGCTGCAGCACCAGAATCAGGGGTGGCTGCTGCAGGAGGTGCAGGCACCAGCAGCACAGCGACGCCCTTGGGGAAGAAGGCTGCATAGGCTGCTGCTTGCAGCACAGAGCATGTTTGCTGTAGCAAAGGCAGCAGCAGCAAGCGAATGAGGGACTTGTACGTACAGGCGAAGCCCGTGACTTAGAAATACAGGAAGAGGACAAAAAAGGGAGGAAGGGGGCGGCCAGCTAAGAAAGCGGTGACAGAGGAGAGAATGGACAAGAAAGAAAGAAGGCAGGAAGGAAACAAAATGGAAGAAAGAGGGCAACAGGAGGAGCAAAACACATAACAAGGAGCAAACAGAGGGAGAAATGAGAGGGTACAGAAGAGGCACAACAGACGTGCTAAACAAAGGAAGCAGGCGCCAAGAACAGGAGATAACAAGAGAAGAGAGCAGGTAGAAGGCAAAGGAATGCCGATGGAGACAAAACGGGAAAACGAGTGACAAAAGGCGGCAAAACGAGAGTACACCCAAGGCATATGCAGCAGGGCACTCGACAACTCAATGCAACAGAGGACAACCCTTCCGAAAAATGGGAGAGACAAAATTAGGAAGACTAGAACAATAATGCAGCGTCTAGGGTACATAGGCAGCATATCCGCTTTTCACAAGACAGGCGAAGCGGGGAAAGCCGACACGGGAGCGCTTCCAGCGTCGCCTAAGCATTAGCCCATGTAGGGCTGCTGCACACCGACGCACTGCAGGAGACAGGCTTTGGCACTGCAGCATTCGCCGCAGTAGGATAGAAGACTTTTCCGATGGAAAGACAGATGCAGCAGCAGCGGCATCAGCAGCACCGTTAGCTGGTTCCAGAAGATGCTGCCTGAATGGACATGCAACATGCACATGGGCGCAAGAGCTTTACTGCTGCTGCGGTTGCTGTTGCTGCTGCTCTGGTGCATGTAGAGGCAAATAGGAAGATATGCGAAGGCAAAGACGAAGAAATGGAAACAAAGGGTGGATGGGAAACACACAAGCATGTAGACTAGTCTACATGCCTGTGTCTTTCCCATCCACCCTGTGTTTTCATTTCTTTGTCTCTGCCTTCGCAAAGCTAAGAAAACGACAGAAGCATGGGAGAATGAACAGAAATGAACAGAACTGAGAAAGAACTGGGTAGCCCCAAGACAGAGACAAAGAAAAAGATGAGTGCTGCGGAAGCGACAACAGTAGAGCAATAGACAAAGACAGACGCAGCACCACCCAGAACGACAGACAGACGAAGAAACGGAAAAGGAGACAACGGCTAAGGCAGAAATAACCAGAGACAACCAGTAGATTGGTTGCAAGCAGCAGGAGGGGACAAAAGGGGACAGAAGGATAGAGGGGATTAAGCCCACCTGTACACAGAAACAAATAAAGAAGACAAGACAGCAGCAGTGCTGCTCTCCAGCGGCTCATCCGCTAGACACGAAAGAAGTATATGAGAGACTGAACTCAAGCCTAATAACAAACAAAATGTTTTTGTACTTGCCTAACATAGGGCGTGGGTGTTGCATGCAATAATATCTTTCAAATAAAACGCAGACAAAACAAAGCGGGGAAGCAAAACCCGAGATGAAATACCAGGAAGAATGGAAGTAAATGGGGGAATTTCGATGAAACAAAAGAAAACGAAGTTAATGCAACGCCAAGTAAAGAAATGCAGAGGGACAAATTAAAGGGACAACAAAGGGGACTGGCACCGGGACAGCTGAAGCTGCTCGCTTTATTCGGTTGTAAAGCAGATAAACAAGAAAACGAACAGATTAATGAATAAATTAAGACAAGCGGACAGTTGAAGAAATAAACGAGCAGGTGACCTCAGGATAGAGTATAAAGGTACAAAGAAAGACGGAGACGAAGACAAATACAAAGCCAGATAGAGAGAGAGAGAGAGAGAGAGAGACAGACAGACAGACAGACAGAGCGAGAGACAGGCAGCCACAGATATGGAGATAGGGAAAGACAGCGAAATTAAAGAGACAGACAAACACGAAGACAGAAGGAAGTAAGCAAGGACAGAAACAAAGAGAGAGGGAGAAAGAGATCGACGGAAACACATATATACAGCAGCGCAAAGAGGAATAAATATAGAGTTAAAGGCACGAATCAAAAGAGGCAATCAAACAGCCGCACTCAATGCAGCAAATACTACATTCACAACACAAGTGCAGAACTTGCTGCACGCAGCTGCATGCAGCAGAGACTGCAGCATGCAGCATAGACAGCAGCATACAGCGCTGCTCACCGAAGTTCCCGAGGGCAGCAACGAGCGTAGCGCATTCCCCAGGGGTAAACGGAAACTGCTGCTGCTGGTGGTGGTGCAGCTGCTGCAGCGCCACCCCTACAGCCGCCAAGAGCCGTTGCACCTGCTCGTCCCTCTGGGGAGGGCGCAGCAGAGACAGTAGCATCAGGCCAGCAGCCAGATGCTTGCCGCTGTAAGGCGGGGCCTGCTGTTGCACCGGCTGCTCAAGTAGCAGCAATGACTCTTCTGCAGCAGCAGCAAGGCAACGCCAGTCTCCCCTGAGGTATGCATGCCTTATTCTTGCTGCAATGCCTTCGCCGTTGTTCCTCTGCGTTGCTGCTGCTGTTGCTGTTGTGGCGGCTGCTGCAGCTGTTCCTTCTGCTGCTTCTTCGGCTGCGCTTGTTGCTACAGTTGTTGCTTCGATCGTTGAACCTGCTGCTGCAGTGGCAACAACAAAGGATGCTGCTTCATCTGATCCTGGGGCCGCAGCGAATGCCTCTAAGCATTGGGGCCTGTACAGCACCCGATTCAGCTGCTGCTGCTGCAGCAGTCGCAGCGCCTGCTTCTTTCCGTGTTGCCTATGCTGCGGTGTTATGGGGGTTACTATAACTGGCGCAGTATTTGCCCTTGGAGTGCAAGGCGCAGTAGCAGAAGCGGGAGCAGCAGCTGCTGCTGCACCAACGTAGTATCGTAGACTGTTGGTTTTGAAGCAATCAACCGGAAATACATGCCTTGAGCCCGCTGCATCGCATGTCCTTGTAGCAGGTGTTGTGTAAGTAGCAACTGTTGCTGCTGTTGCTGCTTCGGCTTCTCTTGCAGAAGCTCCTGCCCCTGGTCGGCCTGTCAGCGGTTTTCCTACAGAAGCGGCGCATGCCCAAGCAGCAAGTCTACCAATGCGCTGTGTTGCCACTATGGCAACACAGCTACAGGAGGAGGAAGAGCAGCACGTGTTGCTCCTGTTGCTGGAGTGTGCAACACCACATGGGCCAATGAGGGGTAACTGCCGCTGCCCATAGAAGGCAGACACCCGAAGAGGGACAGATGCCGCCTTCATTCGCAAGCCCTTAACCGCAAACCCTAAACCCTAGGGCCAGGGCCGGTAGGGCCCCTTAGCCCGGCATCGTGAGCAGCCGGTCTCGACTTTAGATGAGGGGTTTTTAAGAGTCTTCTTTGTGTTTTTTGTCTGTCTTTTGAATGAGAAGATCTATTTTATATATCTGTAGCTCAACCTATACTCCTTGCTCTTGAACTGATTATATAGGGGCCCCCCTCAGGAACACTTCACCGATCAGCAGCATCGGCAGCAGCAGCAACGGCAGCGGGCCCCACACCAACACAGCAGGAACAGTCGCCATTGGAATACTTCGTTGCAGCTGCTGAAACAAAATAAAGAGGACGCCAGCTGGGTTTCTAACGATCAACAACAAGTTCAGGCGCTGTCGGCTGCTGCTGTTGCCGTTGCTGCTTCGACTGCAGTTGCTGCCTCCGCTGCTCGTTTCCGGTACACTTCCCCGAGCATCACCGCAGACGCCTTCCGTGTCTTATGGCCTCGTGGTATCAGCCTCATAAACAGCAGCTAAGAGCAGGAGAAGCAGCAGCAGCAGGTGTAACACGGCACGAGGCCCGGGAGGGGCCCTAAATACACCAGCTGCTCTTGAGGCAATCAAGGTTTACAGGTATTTCGCTACTTTATTCTCTCTGCTGGTGCTGCACCATTTTGAAGCAACATCCTTAACCACCTGCTGCAAAGATCTACGACCTAGGGCAGCACAGGCCGTCCCCAGCAGGAACAGCAGGCAAAGCATCTGCAGCATCTGCAGCAGCAGCACCAGCAGCAGAGACATCAGCAGTATCTGCTGCTTCCTGTGGCCTGCTGCTCCCCCTCCATAAGCAAAGCCATGGGCACTATTGACCTCCGCCTCGCACCTGCGGCCTGCTGCCGCTGACGCCGCCGCAGTTTCGCCGCCGCCGCAGCAGCAGCATCAGCAAGAGCCGGAGCAGCAGCACATGCTGCTGCTGCTCTCTCTGTCGGTAATACAAGATGTGGGGCCGCTCGCGGCCTTGCAGGAGGGTAGTAGCAGCAGCAACTACTGCACTTGCTGCTGCGGGTGCTGCTGCAGCGCCAGCTGCTGCAGCACCCGCAGCAGGTTGCCCTCTGGGGTGTGCATGCAGGGTGCTTCTGAGCCAGCCTTCCAAAGGCCTCCGGGGGCTCATTCTGCAGGAGCGTTTCCCTTTGCAGCAGCAGCAACGGGTTGTGGGCTCTTTTCCTCCAAGCCTGCTCTACGCTGCTCCTGCTACTGTCCCCGCTACTGCTGCTGGTGATACTGCTGTAGGTTGGTTCCCATCACTTTGTTCTTGCTCCCGTTTTTCGACAGCAGCAGCGGTCCCCCAGACATCATCCGTGAACGAAGGAGGAGCAGCAGCGGGGGGAGCAAGAGCAGCAGCAGCGGGAGGAGCAGGAACAGCAGCAGGGAGCGGAGCAGACGCAGCGTCAACTGGAGGAGCGGGAGCAGCAGGAGCGGCAGGACGGGAGAGTTGCTGGTGGTTGCAAGGTTTGCTGCGCTGGCGTCTGGGCCGCCGCAGCTGGAAGCGGCAGCTGCAACGGCAGCGGGATCAAGAGAAGGAGAAGATCGTTAGACTTCCTTTGGGGGTATCAGTTGCTCTTGAGGCACCTATCCCCTGCTGCAGCAGGCTTAAGAGAGATGTGCTGCTGAATGCTGCTGCTGCGTTGCTGCTGTTTGCTGCCAGCGACGTCATGGCCCAGCACCTGCAACATACACAGGCCCATAAACTGCAGCAGCAACAGCAGCAGCAACAACACTCGCAGCAGCAGCAACAACAAGAGCAACACCAGCAAAACCACCCACGACTGCAACATCATCATCAACAGCAACAGCAGCAAGAGTGTGGAGCAGCACATATCCCCCCTCCTCTCAGCAGCACTTTGCGACAGCTGGATATGGGCCGAACAGTTGCTGTGGGGTTGGAGGGCGTCATTGTGAATGGTCCGTGTTGTGTCTCCTTTTATGATACTGCTCATCTGTTTCTGTTTGTTGTATGTCCCCTTCTATGAATTTACCTGTCTCCTTGTCTTGTCTGTTATGTATCTCCGTTTATGAGTTAACCTGTCCTCATTATTTTGCTTGTCTACTGTTTTTCTTGTGTGCTCTTTTCATGACTTGTTGTGCCTCTTGTCGTAGGCTGTGTGTTGCTGTCTCCCGTGTGTCTGTGTCCGCCAGTGTGTCTGTCTCTCTGTCTATGTGTCTATCTTCTGCCACTGTCTCTTTGATTCTTTGTCTCTGTCCCCTTTTCTGCTTCTGTCTTTGTCTCCCTGCCTGTCTCTTTCCTCGTCTTTTCGTGTCTCCGTGTCTGTGTTTTTGTGCTTGTTTGAACCTCGATATGTCTCCTCTCCTTGTTTCTATATCCCTGTGTGGTCTCTGCACTGTCACTACACTACTCGACGACTGTGTTTTTGTCAACTTTCTCTTGTTTCTTGTCGTCGGCTGATTGCAGACTGTTACATTGTGCTTGTCGTTGCTGCTCCGTGTCTGCTGCAGCGCTGCTGCTGACACCGATGTACCACAAGCTCGAAGCAATGCTAGCCCATAACAACGCCCCACTCAAGCGCAGCAGCAGAAGCAGCCGAAGCAACAACAGCAAAGGTGTAACATCCGGCCGGTTGGCCTCTGGGCAACGCATGAGTGCTGCCGCTACTGTGGCAGGACCTGGCGCAGCATCGACCGCAACAGCAGCAGCCGCAGCAGCAGTACAGCAGCAGCGCATGCGGGCAAGCCGCATGCTGTGGTTGTTGAGCTTTTATCAAGTGCTGGCGGTGCAGATTGTTGCAATGCCTTTTAGTTCCTTTTCTTTTCTCTTTATGACTCCACTTCTCCGCTTCGCCTGTTCTAAAGTCTTTAAGAACACCAGCCAGCAGCAGCAACAGCAGCAAGCTCGTTTGGAGGCAGGCGGCCAGCAACTGCAGCAGCAGACGCTAGGGCAGCAGCAGCTGCAGACACAGCCGCAACCCGAGCAGCACGAAGAACAACAGCAGCAGGAACAGCAGCAGCAGCAAGCTTTGAGGTGTTGGGCGAGCTCTGCCCCTGCAACAAGTTGCTGGGCTGCTGTGGTGGAGGGTGCGGAAGCAGTTCGGTGTCACTTTCGAGAAATTTACGTTGCGAGTCTCATTGTGTGGCCATTGTCGGACTTAATAAACTTCAGGTATATAAATGTAAAGTATAGCAAAAGAAACAAATAGAAACAAAACAGGAGTGCATACACCCCAATTCAATGTGTATAATATATATATGTGTCGTAAACAAACAACAGGCAAACAAATGCAGTTAACAGACGCAAGCAAACATATCTTTCTAGTAAACACGTTGTAAACCAGCGCAAACAAAACAATCTTATGACGGACAAACTACTACACTATAAGCCTTGGGTCTCAACCAGCGAAACCGAACAGATACGGAGGAACATATCATAAAGGCAAACGCATCCTAGCATGCACAAACCAACATATATTGACCTTGTGGTGCAAGGCTCCCCAGGTGCAGGGGGGCCTGCCGCTGGTTCTGCTGATGCCATTGCGGCTGTTCTGTAGTAGCTGCTGCCGCCGTTTTCGTCGCTGTAGTTCTGCTTGGTGCTGATGCTCTTGTTGATGTAGTCGTACCTGCTGCTGCTGCTTCTGGTGCTGCAACTGTAGCTGCTGCACCTACAACAGCTGCAGCTGTTGTTGGATTGCAGGTGTTGGGGATCTTGCGCATGCATGCAAGCATACGCTGTTTGTTTCTTCAGGTTCGTGCCGTTGGCGCTGCGGCCTGCATGGGACTCGTTGTTAGATTTCGTGTGGGCTGTCTATCTCTCCTATGCTGCGCATTCTGCTCCAGCACCGCTGCTGCAGCAAGAGCAGCAAATACCAAACGAAGCAGCAGCAGGACCAACAGGTACCGCTGCTGCTGCTGCCCCTCACTGAAACAGGATGCAGTGGTAGCCTGTGTTCAACCCCGCAGCGACTGGCGCTGGCGTTTGCCTGGTGCAGTTGCGCTTGTAAGAGCTGCAACATGCTGCAGATGCATGCATCATATGCAGCAAAGCAGCGGCTGCTGGGACAGCAGCAGCTGCTGCTATTTGCTTGCATAGGAAATAGACAACGCGACAACCTGGCACTTACAGCTGCTGCTCTTTCTGCTGCTGAGGCCTGCGTTTGCTAGACAGTACGGTTGCGCGTTATGCAGCAACAGCAACGCAGCATCAGCAGCTTTGTATCCCGAATACAAGACGGTTTTGTTAGAAGGCCGATAGATGCAACTAAAAGAATAAAGCAGGAACACCTTTATGTGCGGTTAGTCGGCTTGGGCCCGCTGTGGTGCGGCCCTGTGCTGCTGTGCTGGAGCTCTCCTGCTGCTGCAGTGAGCAAGCGGCAACAGCTGCTGTTACCGCAGACAGGCGGCAACAGTTGCTGCTGCAGCGAGCAGGCGGCAGCAGTTGCTACTGTAGCTGCAGCAGCTCATCGCATGCAACGCGCCGCTGCAGCTGCAGCGGCAGCACTCACTGGTATATTGCTGCAGCACGCGGGAGGCAGCAGCAAGGCCGGCTGCTGCAATGTACGAACTCTCAGCTGCTGCTCCAACTGAAGCACAGATATAGCTAAGAGCTGCTGCAGCAAATATACCTAGAAGCATTCCCAATTACCTGCAGCAGCCAGACGGCCTGCGGAGGCAGAAGAAGCAGCAACGAAACATCTTGGCTTCTGCAGCTACTGCTGTGGTTTGGTGGGAATACAGACGACACTGCAGCTGCTACTGCTGCTGCTGCTGTCATTAGCGCGGTGTCTGTACACCTCCATTCCCTGCTGGGCAGCCTCCCTGCAACGAAGCACACTCTTCTTCAAGTTCCACTCTTCAGTATCTAGACAAGAAACACCTACGGCTGCACCTCTGCGGTGTTGCTGCAAGGGGACTGCAGCAAGACTGGATGATGCTGCAGTTTTGACTAGCGAGCCCATTCTGTTGTTGCCTCTGCTGCAGCTGCAACGCCTGCTGCTATGGATGCTGCTGCTGCTGCCTTGCGTCAGGCTGCTGCTTGTGACGATCGCCACGTGGGTTGCGGTTCTGTCGGTGCTGTCGACGCAGCAATTTCTGCTTCTGCTGATGTTGCTGTTGTTGCTGCTGCTGCCTAGAAAATACATATTCAACTGCTGCCGGTGACGGTCGCATGCTATGCCAGCGGGTTGCGGTGCCGTCGATGCGGTTGCTGCTGCTGCTGTTGCTGCAGCTGCTGCTGCACACCGCCGCGGGATGCGTTGCCGAGAGGCCTCCTGCGATGTCTTGCGGGAGGTGCTGGCGCGGAAGGATTACTAACAGCAGCAGCAGCTGCTGCTGCTGCTGCGGGGGGGAAGGCTGCCCACACATTTGTCCGCGCCTGCTGCTGCGATGCATGTTCTGCTTGGTGCTGCTGCGGTTGGAGCTGCTGTTGCTGCAGCTGTTGTTGTTGCAACTGTTGCTGCTGGAGCTGCTGTTGCTGCAGCTGTTGTTGCTGCAGTTGCTGTTGCTGCAGCTGTTGTTGCTGCAACTGTTGTTGTTGCAACTGTTGTTGTTGCAGCTGCTGTTGTTGCAGCTGCTGTTGCTGCAGCAAATGATGTTGTTGCTTCAACTGTTGCTGCTGCAGTTTTTGCTGAGGCTGGTGCTGCTGTTGTTGCTGCTGGTGAAGGTCAGTCGTGTGCTGCTGCAGAAGGTCTATAGCTTGCGGTTGCTGCTGGCGTTGCTGCTGCTGTTGCAGCTGCAAATGCTGCTGTAATTGCTGTTGTAGATGCTGCTGCAATTGCTGTTGCAGTTGCTGTTGCAGCTGCTGCTGGAGCTGCAGCTGCTCTTCACTGGAGACTCTGCCTCCTCCGTCCACCTCAGTGCTACCGGCTTGAGCGGTATGCAGTTCTTTCTGCCGTAGCAACAGCAGCAAACACTGCCGCACCTGCTGCGCCTGAAACAGCAACGGAGCAGCACCAGCACGGCAACAGCAACCGTAAGTCAGCAGCAAGAGCACAACAACCGCACAGCACCAAGTAACCAAGTAAACAGTAGCAGAAGCAGCAGGGTACATGGAGTACCCCAATCCGTAACTGAAGGAAGCGCCGCTGCCTAGAACATGTGGGAAATGTTGAAAGCAGGCAAGAGCAGCAAACAGCAGCAGAAGCAGCGACAGTGCAGGTTGGGCATCAAAGTGACTCAAGAAACGGCTTAGTATCATTGTTGCAGTTCTTACCGTTGCAGCAAACGTCTCCACCTTCTCTTTCTGTTGCTGCAGAAGCGCATCTCTAGCCCGGAGTTGCTGCAGCAGGAGTTGTTGCTGCTGCTCGTGCTGCTGCTGCTGCAATTCCCTTGCGCTGCGTTCCTCGCGCAGTTGTTGCAGCACCGCAGTGGCCTACAGCACAACAGTGGCAGCAAAAAGCTTTTTACACTGAAGCAGCAGCAACAGAGACGGAGGATGCAAGGGTTCCAAATGCCATTATGCATACACCGTAACCTTTCGAAGACAAGCAACAACAGGAGCAGCAGCAGCAGCATTGCAGTGGCAGCAAATGCAACGGAGAGATACACCTGACCCCAAGTGGGAGGGGGAGACTAGCCAACCAAAACGACATAAGAGAGACATATAAGCAAGCGTCAAGAGACGGCAGCAAACGAGGGGACGCAGATAACCTAGCCAACAAACGACTAACCTTTAAAGATAAGGCAGACAGAATGCCTTCGCGCTGCTGTAGCTGTTGCCGAAGCAAAGTCCTTTCACTTTTCAAACCTCCTAACTCCCGCTGCAGTTGCTGCACTTGTTGCTGCAGCTGCTGCACCTGAGCCTGATGCAAGTCCCCACCAGATACATCTGCAGCGGCAACACCATTCGAAAGCTGCTGTAACCCAAGCTGCCGTGTCTGTTGCTGCAGCATGTGCAGCAGCATCTGATGTTGCTGCTGCTGCTGGCGCTCTTGCTGCTCCTGATCCTGCGCCGTTTCTGTCACTGCGTCTTCAATGTCCTCTTCAAGTGCAACAGCAGCAGCAGCAGCAGCAACTGCTTCTGCTGCTGCTGCAGCAGTTCCAGCTGCTGTTGCATTGGTGTTGGGGGAGGCAACAAGGGACTCCTCCAGAGAAGCAAGGGAAAGGCGAAGCACCCTGCTTTCTGCTGTTGCTGCTGCTGTTGCTGCCGCTGTGCTCTCAGCCTGTACTTCCGAACTGGTGCTGAGGTTGTCTTGCAGTCCCTTATCAGCAGCGTCTGCTGCTGTTGCTGAATACTGCTGCTGTGGCCGGCGGTCGTGCTGCTGCTGATGTTGCGGCTGCTTCGGGTCTACGAAAATGTAAAGGTGATCATAGGTGCAAACAGCAGTAACAGTATCTAAAGCTGCTCCGCCAGCACCGCAATCTGTTGCTGCTGCTACAGCAGAGAGGCAACTCGGAAGGGAGACAGATATCCACTGGCGACTCGCAAGAGACATGCAAGACGCCGCTGCAAGCAAAACACATAAAGAGCACAACTTCTTTATGTGTTGCTGTTACCGGCAGTAGCAGCAACACCACCAGTAGTTGTAGCAGCAGAAGCAGCATTAACATTGACATAATCAGCAATATCAGCAGCCTGCATTCACGTGTACCTGCAGCAGGCGGAGCCCTAAAAAGGAGCAAAAAGTCGCGAAGGGGGAAAAGCGAAGTGCTGGAGACACAAACATGACAAAGTTCAAACCCTAGCCTCTTATACTGAACCAGCCCCAAACTCCAAACCCTAAACCCTAGACCCTGTCTTTCGGAGGAGACAAGACGCGAGAAACAGCAGCAAATAAATTAAACAGCAGCACAGCAGCAAAGTCTGCTGACCGCATAACACAAGACACAAAACGAAAGGACTACTCACCCTTTACAACCTGAGGTGTCTGGACAGCTGTTACCGCTGCTGCTGCTACTGCTGCTCTTCAGAAATTTCCATCGTTTATCTTGTAGATCAAAGCACCACAAATCATCCAATAAAGAGCAGCCTTGTTGCTGTCTATCGCTACACTCTCTTCCCCCAAACAAGTACAACAATGTGTTGTCTTTCGATGCCGCAACACAGGGATCCTCCCTAATCGTCGGCTCCTGCTGCTTCTCCAGCCGCTGGTGCTGCTGCTGCAAAGGAGAGCCTGGTGCTGCTGCTGCTGCTGCCGAGGTGTACAGCAGCTCTACAGTGAGGGTCTTAAGGTTTAACTCAAGCAAGCGGTTCTCTCTGCCTTCTGATGGAGCAAGCGAGACAAACGCAAGAAAGCAAACACCTAAAGACCAACTGCAGCTGCAGACAACTGCAGCAGAAGCCACAGTCAGCAGCAGGAGCAGATATGCCAGCACCAGCAATCGCAGCAGCAGTAACAGCAGCAGTTTCCACCCGCTTACTACCACCAGCAGAGGAAACGGAACAGAAGCAGAAGAATGAGTCCAAGGAGTTGAAGACCCAAGTTTGACTCGCCGGCTGTTGCTGCAGCAATGCCTGCTCCGAATCTTCCTCCTCTCCCTGCTGCTGCTCTGCGCAGATATCCACATGCAGCTCCTGCCGCTCCCACAGCCCCGTCCCTGCAACGCCATCGACAGCAGAGACAATGCAGACAGCAAACAAATAGCAAACAAAGGGCCATCATGCAGCAAAAGCAGCAACAACAGCAGCAAGAGAGAGCGTACCAACATGGAAGAAGAATATCTCCTTGTCTCGTAAATTTCCCCTCGCATCAATTCCTGAAAACACTGCCAGACGACACTCATGGGGTCTGCTGCTGTTGCCGGTGCTGGTGTTGCTGCTGCTGCTGCTGCTTCCACCACCACTGCTGCTGCTGAGTGTTTTATCGGCATCGTGCTCTGCTTTTTGTCTCTCGTTTGTTTGCTCCTCGTCATGTTGCTGTTGCTGCTGTTGCTCCACAAGTGGAGATGGTGCACCGGGGACAAGGTCTTCGTCTGCAGCAGCAGTACTTGCCTCTGCTGCTGCTGCTGCTGCTTTTTCAGATTCAGAAGCAGCAGTGACACCTGGGCAATGCGTATCTGAGGCGCAGCTGCTGCCCTCGTCATTGCTGGTGGCAACGATACCTTCAGAAATAGACGCTGCAGATGGTTTTGCTGCTGCTGCTGCAGCAGCAGCAGCCGTCGCTGCTGCTGTTGCCATACTTGCAGCAAGGAAGACGGCGCTGTGCATAGAGGGAGCGCTGCCTCCTTTAACCTTCAGCGGTACCCACATAGCCTCCGAAGAAGAAACTGCAGCAGCAGCAGCAGCAGCAAAAGCACCAAAAGCAGCAATGCAGAACAAGACCCCAAACGGCATACAGAGAACGAACGGCAATCTAAAAATGCAACAACGAGGAAAACTGGGGACCAACAGCAGCAGCAGCAGCAAAAGCGGCAGCAACAGCAACGGCAATGACGTCGCCTCTTCCTGCCAAGACAAGGATGAAGGCGTATCTTGGAGCGCCACCGTCGTCATATACCATTGAAGAAGCAGCAGCAGCAGCAGCAAAAGCAGCAGCAGCTGTTGCTGCTGCTGTTTCCCCAGAAGAGAACACAACATAACCAGAACGCAACTTCCCTGCAACTGGAGCGGCTGGACCAGCAGCAGCATTCTAAGCAGCAGCAACATCAGCAGCAATGCCCGCAACAGCAGCATATCACCAGCAACATCAGCAGCAACATCAGCAGCGGCAGCAGCAAAGAGGTACCTGCTTCCAACTTGGAGACACAAAAGTGGTTGTCTCTCTGCTGCAAACGGAATATAGAGCCACAGGCGCAACCCGTATACTGGGCAGCATCGCTGCAGCTGCTGCTCTTGATGCTGCTGCTGCTGCTGATGCTGTTGTTGCTGTCCAGCGAATGTATGACAGTCATATCTTCCCAAGCTGGTTCCGCAACTGTGAGTAGCTGCTGCACTGGGCTCCGTGCTGCTGTTGTTGCTGCTTCAGCTATTGTTGCTGCTGTTGCTGCGTTCTCGCTGCGGCATCGCTGCAGCAGCTGCTGCTGCCGCTGCAGACATGCGGGCACAAATTCAGCAGCATCGGGGTTTAAGGCACAACCATCACCTACCAAACCTTGGTGCAGTCGCTGCTGCTGCTGCTGCTGTCTGGAGGCAGCAGCGGCTTGAAGATCTACAAGTGTCGACAGTATGGAGCCCTGCTGTTGCTGCTGTTGCTGCTGCTGCTGTTGCGTACGCTGGGGCAGCTGCTGTACCTCCAAGAGGTGCTGTTGCTGCTGTAACTGGCGTTGCTGCTGGTTCTTCTGCCTCACCTGCTGCTGCTGCAGAAGCTGCTGCTGCACCACCTGTTGTTGCAGCACCTGCTGCTGCAAAATCTGTTGCTGCAACACCTGCTGCTGCAGAAGCTGCTGATGCAACACCTGCTGCTGCAGCTCAGAATCTTCGGCCAGCCACTGCTGCTGCGCTTCGTGGCGGCGTCCTTCGCCGGTGACCCTTTGCTGCTGCTGCTGCAGCTTCTGCTGCTGTTGCAGCAGCAGCAGTTGCTGTTGGACTTGTTTCTGCTTGAGCTGCAGAAGCCTCGCATCCCCCTGCGTGTGCTGCTGCTGCTGCTGTTGTTGTTGTTGTTGTTGGTGCAGCGGAAGACGGCCGACTGCCGCAAAATTATGGGAGAGGTCCTCGAACCCAGGAGGAGTTGTGGCAACAGCAGCAGCAGCAGCTCTTTCGTGTTGCTGCAGCAGTAGTTGCTGCTGAAGCTGCTGCTGTAGTTTCTGCTGCAACTTCTGTTGCATTTCATCTTGCTGCACCTGTTGACGCAGCTGCTGCTCCCGCTGCTGCTGTTGCTGTTGCTGCTGCTGCTGCACTGCCCGCAGCTGCTGCCCTGCAAATACGCCCAAAGAACGCAACCGCCTTTCTAGCTCCCCTAGGGCCCCAAGGTTATCATCGGCACTCTGCTGCTGCTGTAGCTGCTGTTGCAATTGCTGCTGTAGGTGCAACAGCTGCTGCTGCGGTTGCTGCGGCTGCCAGTCCAGCTGCTGGAGCTGCTGCTGCTGCTCGTCCCGCAGGTCTTGCTGCTGCTGCTGTGCCTGCTCATAATCTTGAAGGGATGGCTCCCCGCCCCTTTGCCTTGAATCGTCCTGCTGTTGTTGTTGTTGTTGCTGCTGCTGCTGCTTCTGTTGCTGTTGCTGTTGCTGCCTGTGGATATCTAGGGCCTCTGTGAGCATCCACAGGGCCTCCCCCTCATCTCCTGCACCTGCATCCGGATCCATTCCTGCTGCCGGTGCTGCTGCTGCCTCTGGTTGTTGTTCTGATACTTCCGTTGCTCCCGACGCTGCACGTGCTACTGCTGCTGCTGCTGCTCCTAGGCTGAAACGAAGCGCTGCTGCTACACTGCTGCGTTGTATGCGATGGGTCGATAAATTCTTACTATACGCAACAGCTCATAGTGCTGTTGCTGCTGCAACGCCTGCTGCAGCAACCCCGAAACGAGTAGCTGTTGCTGCACACCTGTGGCAGGGCTGCAGCAAGGCCATTTAATCGGCCTAGCCGCGGCGTCTACCGCGCCTGAGAGATGCGTCTGCTGCTGCTGCTGTTTGCGGTTTTTGATCCTCCTGCTGCTACTATTGAAGTTCCTACTGTGGCAAATACGTTATAATATGGCTTCAATAGGCAGCTATGGGATGTAACTAAACCGACTGGAGGTTAGGAGCCGTCCTCGGGTTACAGCTGCAGCAGGTTGCTGCTGTAGTTGTTGCTGCTATTGCTGCCACTGAAAACTAGACAAGAAGCAGCGAGAGAGCAGCAGCAACTGTTCTTGCTATCGCTATGAAGAGGGAAAAGGGTCGTTGGCGCTGTGGGAGACTCTCGAAGCCGAGAGAGACGGGTCGGACGCTGCTGCAGCAGCAGCTGCTGCTGCTGCCGTTGCTCCTGCAGGAGATGTATTCCTCCGGGCATTCATAAGGATGTAAGGTGTCAAATGGATAAGGCGAGAGCAGCAGCAGGAGGAGCAACAGGGGTGTGTACGTACGAGGGCCACCCCACGGACCAAAGCAACAGCAGCAGGCGTTGTTGCTGCAGCAGCTGCTGCTGCTGCTGCTTGGTTTTCTGCAGGTGAAGAATATAAAAGACTAAGCAGGACTCAAACACATCTTGGTGCTGCTGCTGAGTGTGCAGAAAAGCAGAAGAAAGAAGAAGGGATCTGCGGGAGGTGCCCATATACACCCCAGCTGTTCCACAGCGGCAACGGTGGCGGTATACATACAGCTGCTGCTGCAACTCTCACGCACACACACCCCTCGCCTCTTTTTAACTTTAAATGTAATTGATTTAAAGAGGCAAAGACACGAAAGCACAGCACAAATGCAACGGAAGGATCTGCCTTGGCCTCCTCGTGGGGGGCGGCGTTGGTTGTGGCCACTCTGTCTCAAGCAAGCCTCCACCTCCTCTGGTCTTTCCTGTGACTTGAATTTTCCTGTGCCTTTTTCTTATCTGTTCATTCTTAGGGACTCTTTTTAATGCTTCTGGACCCAAAAATGCTCCTTAACAGCGGGAGATGCAGCAGTTTTTAATAGCTCTTTGGGTGGTTTGTCTGTCTTTTGATAACAAGGGTGGGGGGAGGGGTAAGGGGGGGGTTTATTCACCCGTTTTTCTAGCCACACGGGTAAGAATGGGCTTTTAAATAAGCATATGTATACATTTTTATTGGCATTATGCTCCTTTGGTTAGGGGAGGGCTGCGCAGTCTCCTGCTCCTGCTGCTCCTGTCACTCTTGTTTGCTGCTGCTCTTTTCAATTGGCGCTTCTCCATTGGGAGGATGCTTGCTTTCTCTCGTTCTGTAGTCTTGTTTTCTATATGTATTTACTCCACTATTGCCTTTCCACCAGATCTCCTCCCCAGATTGCATTCATGCAAGCCAGACGAGCCAGTTGCTACACGCTGGCACGAGCAGAATGCAGACAATGTAAATACCAACTCTCAGTTGGAACGTCACTTAATTATCTATTTAGCTAGCTACTTGGAGTTGGATACAGAATGAGGGCTCATTATTGCTGTCGATGGTGTGAATTTATCCTTCTTCGGAGTGCCGTATAACAAGACCTTGCACTTAGTGTGAAAGGTATGTCATGGAGACCTCATCAAAGCAGTCTTGGAAGTTGCAGTGGAGTGGAGGCGCTTACCAGTCATTTAAAAGCAGCAGAATTCCATCTCTAGTCCCCAGGCGTCCTGTGCACAGATACTAGAGCTCCTGAAGCGGTGCGTGGTAGATGCTGTGTCACGGGTTGAGATGCATCTTGGCGCAACCGGTCGGGCAGGGCGTCCCAAATGCAAAAGCAAATGAACATTCTTAGCTATGTGCACTAACGTAATAGGCAATTTATGAACACTTCCTGCGTGGGATATTTCAGCTCTCGCCCTGAAACACTCTGAGTACTAGGCAATTATTTGGTGCCTCTGCGGGTTGTTAACCTTCTGCTAGAGCGTCATCCTGGCTGCTGTGCCACTGGCATCGCTTGCTAGAAACGAAAGCCTCTGGAAAGAAGGGAGAGCGAGCGCAGGGAACGGTGTCTGGTGTCGGATGAGGCTTTTGCTGACAGTTTTTCCATTCTCTGCCCGAACAAGCTGTTTCTCCTTCTTACGTAGCTTATTAAGAGAAATGGACATGCAGGAGGATACATGGATGGTGTTGCGGTAGTGTAGTGCGAGGCTGAACGTCTTTGCGAATGCACAAAGTTCACCTCCGAATGGGCTTTATCTGTTCATTAAATATGGTCCGATCCGCACTGCAGAGACAGGAAGCGCTGTGAAAATTCTGTGTACAAAGCTCAGACAGTCTTTTGCTTTCACAAGAAACAACTCGTCATTTAGCAGCATCCTTGCCTAATCTTGGCAACTCGCCTGCTTGCCCCACGGTTGTCTTCCAAGATGCGGGCGTTGCGGGAAACAAAGTTGTGGCTGCCCTAGTTTGATACGTTGCGCGGGCCTACCAGAGCGTGGCTGACCTGCTGGTTGTGTCGTTTATTACGCACTGCATCTGAAAGTGCTGTTGTCAATTGTTCCAACATCCGCTTTTCGTCGGATGTTAACTGGACCAAATATACCCAAGCCGCAGTTTTCGTAAGATCATCGCGGAGGGGTGTATACACCTTCCGTCGTTCCCCGGAACATCTCGGAGCTGCGTAGTATCCTATTTGTCCTGTACCCTTCGCACGACTTCGGCACTTCTTAAAGTGCAGAATGTAAAGCGCTTGAGGGGGGCTGACACAGTCTCCCATCGCTTTCTAATACATTCATCTCGATAGTGCAGGGCTCATGCGCGTCTTGTAGTATAGCACCCATGGCATGTCGAGGATTATGCCGTGGTGAACCGCATATCCAACTCATATCTCCGTATCATGGTACTGAGGCCTTTTGTGAAAGGCGTATGCCCTTTAAGCTCATAGTATTGCCAAGCTGTTCGTCTTTTGCATCAACTGCAAAAAGCAGGAGCAGATAATGCCCCAATGTGGTAATGCGCCTCTGCTTCGTTGCTTCCTATATCAGACCACTTCCGATCCTGTGGCAAGGAGCTTTAAGAGTTTCCGAGCATTAATACGAACTTGTATAGATAGAGTACTAAGCGAATGCCAATATACGACAGTGACTAGTGCCTCTGTCAGCCGAATCATACAGCTACACGTTGCGTTTGGGTCCTAACGTGCCTCCACCCATTTTGTATGTTCGTTGAGCTGGCCTGCAACCACCTCTGCTTCTCCAGTTCCTTAGTTCCTTATATACATCTGCTCTCTCATAGTATATGACGTGGATTATAACAAATGAAGCAAATGCGCCTCTGCAGAACTCCTCCAGGCCTTCTAAATGGTTTGCTCCCTTGCTTTTGTCGGTTTTTCCTGTTCACCCCTAGAGGGTAGAGACGGATTACTCTCCATTGGGCAATGAAAGTGAAATACTAAGATTGACAAGGGCTTTGGATTTATTATACAGAAGATGTTCTTTTTTGTATAGACATACATTTTTGAATTATAGTCCTTACTATTCGCTGCTTTGCTGCTGCCCTATTACAGCTAGTGACAGTCCTTAGGTAAGCTCAAAGAATGCCACCGCATACAGCACCTCATAAGCATACACATAGAGGACAATAACTCTGTGAGTTTCTTGGCCTTAGAAGAATAAACCCTCCAGTGCCAAAAACGATACATCATCACAATACAAATTCCTCACACACCTCAATAGAAAACACGTTTTGCTCCCGAGCGTCTCAAGCCCCTAACAAGCTCTCATTGTTTTAGAAGTTTCTGCTGCTATGTAGCAGAAACTTTTCTTATTTGGCGTAGCCCATTTTGCATTAACGGAAAATACTTTTGAATAAACAAAGGCGTTGCCTCATACCAGTGTAGAGGACAGCGGAAGCTGCTGCTGCATGCAAGTTGATAGCAGCTACTAGCAATAATTCGTCTTCTACTTAATAAGAATGAATAACTACTTTGTTTCTCTTGATAATCCGTTGAATGTGTTTGTATTCATATAAGCAAGCCGCAGACGACGCCGTACGAACAACCCCACCCCTTCTGTTGCTACTCTTAGTTTCGGTGCAGTTTATACCTTTTTCTTTCGTTTTCCAGATTTATTTGACCTAGTCTATCATTTGTTAACAAAAAAAGAGGAATAGGGCTTAGGGTATCGTAAGTCATCATCTGCTTACGATTCCGGTGTTCATACACCTCGCCGGCAGACGGACTGCATCCACGTCTTATATCTTCTCTTCCCCCATTGTTATAACTTGAATTCTTGTGTTTTAATATATTTAACTATATATTCTTCTCGTTAAAAAGACCTAACACGCTGCAACGTATCCCTGTATTCCCGTTTCAGCCCCTGTACCATATACGACGCCATAAAGATCTGGTGTATCCATCTTGTTCTGCTGTTTTTATTTCTAATTATTTTTCTTGTAAGGAATGCGATTACTCTGTACATTCCATATATATGGTCAGCAGGAATACTACCCTAAGGATCCTCAGCAGCAGCAGCAGCAGCAATAGCGGCTGCTGCCGCTGTTGCTGCTATACAGCAGTCCTTTTCATTGTAACTCTGTCTTGGGCTATACGATGACATACGCTGTGGAGGGAGACAGCTGCAGCAGCAGCTGCTGCTGCAGCTCCAAGTGCTGCCGATCCAGATGCTGCTGCTGCAGCCATCATCACGCAGCTGCAGGTACACTAGGGTGTGCTGGTAAAGCAGCAGCAGCAACAGCATCATCACCTACAGCAGG